AGAGGATAGATGTGATTTTGCTCACCCTGTGCTTCCAATGGCTCACATGTAGTTCCCTTACACTGAATACTTGATCCGTTTTTTTTAGAAATTATGTAAAACATTTCCACATTGCAAGCCTATGTAGAGCCCAACACAGCCTACGATAAGCAGCGATTTTGCAGTTAAGCTGCCATTCTTCCATTCAAAGTTTGCAACCGTGTGTCAATATGGCTCATATGCAAGGCCTGCCTACAAAGGATCTGATCCACTGTGGGAACCAAAGTGGTCCGAAGTAGAGGATTTCTGGACACGCTTGTGAAGCGGGACTCACGGTCAACAGTCCGCGTGGTCGCACCAGACGAATGGGAGTACTAGCGATTTCCATGAGGGGGGGGGGTGTATGTGTAGAAGTCGAGAGGGGTTTGGTTGTAGAAGATGGGGTCATTTCAGCGGATTAACGATTTTGGTGGACAGACTTTAAGATCAAAGCAAAAAGCGTGATATGTACAGCGTCGAGCATTTTTAAAACCATTTTTCGAAACGTTCCCCCTCCCTCCCCTTCGCCAGCTTCAAATACTATACAAACAGCCACGGTGATCGGGTTGATGGGAAGGGAGGGGGAGGGGTATTCAGAACTCCTCAAAGAGTGGTTGAACTCGGCCTGACGCTAGGATTGACTCTGGTGGTGAAGGAACGTGATTCACTCCAAAAAGGTGAAGTCGTTTTAACTCCCCAACATTGGATTTTCGGAAGAGCGGGAAACAGGACTGGGCGCTATCGCAATGTACGGGGCATTGTGGTGGCATTGCATTTCAAACCGCGTAAAGCGTTTCCTTTTTGGTAAAAAATGGGGCTCAGCCTTAGGTAGGGGAGGTGAGACTCCAGGGCAGGGTCGGTCCTATCGTTGCTACTTTTCAAAAAGTTTTTACGACCCCTCCCTCATGAAATGTTTCATACGACCCCCTCTTTCAAAACAATTTTTACCCCAAAAAAATCCAAGGGGGGGTATATACGCGCGCTGAAACGGCAAATTTTCTCCCGCGCCGCTCCCCACTCATCACATGCAACTTCTTACAACCGAAGCAAGTACGACCCCCCCTCTACAAACTCATCAAAATACGACCCCCCCGTTGCTACTTGTAGCAACATAGGGTTGACCCTGCTCCAGGGTGCCTGAACCATTCTCATTTTCCTCGATGTTTCTGCTCCCTCCCAAGCTTGGTCCTGAAAGGCGCCCCCGTAGATTGCGATGGCGCGACAGGAATGTGTTGAAATCCGATAGTTTTCAGAAGATTTAGAATTCCTGATAGTTCCGCGAAGATTTAGAAAAACTACGGAAATGTTAAGAAAACTGTATTTTTCTTCTTCTGAGTGTTGCACCTTTGACAGAACCTCAGCTGGAGGAGGGAGCGAGATGAGGCCTGGCCTGTTAACTTCATGGCGCGTGGCTTACCCTGAAAGAGCCCGAATCGTCCACGCAAGCCATACGGCGGACCTCCAGCCACTATGTACCTGCAGTATAAAGTGGCTGTAGTGAGACATCCCTTGTGAAGCGATAACAAAACTGAGGAAAAAACCGTCTTTTTCAAAGCTGCTCCACTCTACTAAGGAATGAGTTGTCGATCCTTCAGCGGCTCTTTATGTGCCCAGCGCATTGCTTTCCTATCAGAATAATGAACATTTGGAGGCGAGTCGTGAGTTTTACTCTGGAGCAACCAACCAAACAAACAAGTAAAAAATCGAATCATGTGAGCAGGTGAAATCCAAGGATTCCTCCAGCAAAGTGGTGGACCACGGTACGCAATCCAATGTCGTCACCTCAGCGCATTCAGTAGAACAAATCGCATTTCGTGATTCTCAAGGGGAGCCACGTCTTCGAATGGTTTCTCGAATTCGATTTTAAGACCAATTGCATCGTCTCTCGTTTTCGTCTCGTCCGCCCCCGAAGAGATTCAGTAACATCAGACTGGGCCCCAGTTTTGTTCCGCCATCCATTCACCAGCTTCATTCCTCAAATAGCCTATCAAGCAGTTCCAGCCAAGCAACATTCTGATCAGCATTGGTGCTCTTTCTCCAGCATTTTCGTCTTCAGATTGAATTTGTTTCAGATTTACTACTCAGCTGCCAGTAGAGTTAATCGTCATGAGGCCCTTCTTGTCCCTCTCCTTGGTAACAAATTTTCGTCTACTTGAAAAAATACCCAGATGACGTTTGGCCTGACGAAAGTCATAAGGAATTTTTCTGTGATGTCCCATTAATGGTTCAAAATGACGCAAGGGTTCATTCGGACTGTTTAGACAGGACCTAGAGCATTCAGGTACTATTAAACATTCTCAAGGCTGGGGGTCTTAAAAAGAACCCACGTTCCTCGAGCATGTTCACGAGGAATGCATTATTTTTCAATAGCATGTATAAGAGTAATTAATTTGAATTTTTTTCAGAGCACTAAATTAAATTCAGTCAAATAGATAAAAACCAGCATTTCCCTTTTAAACTGTGATTTTAAAGCGACACGGGACGACGTCCCTGTTTAACTCCTGCTATTCCAGCCACCTCAGGCTGATTATGGCGCGGATTAATTTGTAATTTTTACGCACCTAATGACGAAAGGCTTGAAAGCCGATACGCAGACCAGGTCTTATAGCGCCTGTGACATTTTTTAATTTTCACAAGAATACTGGATTATGGACAAAACTTAGGGGGGACCGGCCAAAAAACGGCAGCTAACAATCAAAAACACGTTAAAATCATTTTTTGTTGTGGGTTGACTCAAACATGACCTGAACCCTGGAAGGATGGCATGAGGAGTATATTCGTCCAAAGGGCACTATCAATAATTATACATTTCGGATTAGAGCCTCTCGGGGAATATCCCAGGATCATCGCGTATCCTTAAGATTGATGCTCTCTATATAGCTGAGCTGCTCTCTTTTAGAGCAGCTCACTACGAATACTACAACTATAGTTGAATTCTGGAGTTCATTGCCCTTTCCACGACCCTTCCGGCCTAGAAGGGAGCATTATCCTGCACGGGTAGGACTCGGAAGAGCCCGTAACAAATGTTCTTCACCATCAGTCCTATGGAGATTCAGATACCCATCGGAAGGAGAATTAGCTTTCAAATGAGCTCGAATGGAGGACCAGAATACCGAAATAACTGCTACCTTACCCTTTATATTTTTAGCGTTCTAAATAGTTCATCCGAAATAAAACGTCATAAAACGTCTAAGTTGAGGAAGAGAACCAGTAATCTTCTCGCTGTGTTTTTAAATCTCAACCCTGGTGTTGGCTCATCTGATTAGCACCTTCCCGGGACCCACTCCATTCACGAAGGCACGAGCGAAATGACAAGCTGCTGACAGCCTCGTTGACTTCCTCGGCTTCGATTTCCTACATCAACTCTATCACAGGAAACTAGTGGATGTAGGAGCTTGCGAAGTCTATGAGCTGTCGGCTAAGATTTTCCACACTTAATTTGATGAACACTTTCGGCTAAGTGAGTAAAAAGAAAGTTCTGTGAAGAAAAGAGGATATTTGCGCTTATCGAGCGATTTCGAGAACTCAACCTCAGCAATGAACCCGGGGTGGATGGAAGCTGATTGGTTCTTCTGAGCTGGGGCGAAACTTACCACCTTGAATTTTTTACAGATATGTGTTCAAATGTTTAATGTTTGTTTGTTGATTGTTTTTCGTTTTTGTTATTGAGGGTTAAGGTACGCTAAATTTAGCTGTTTGGTTAGGAAGGTCATGACGTTTAGCTCCAAGAAATGCCCTTCTTGCGTCTGTAATTACAACGATCCACCTTCGAGTGAAAGCACTCCAGTGAATGCTGCTGAATTTAGTTTGTTCTTTTGGGAGCTGAAGTGGGTGGATGAGGAGATGGAACACTTTATCGAATGGCGTCATATAGTCGAAAGCGACCACCAGGAGACGAGAGAGGGGGCGGGCAATGAATTATATCCACTTCGGGGCCTTCCCGTTTCTCATCGTCCATGTTTTGGACGATATCTATGCTCCATGTCAAATCTAACAGAACAAAATTGTTTGCCGTCACTGTTGAATGTTTGACTGGAACAGCTCTCAGCGCTATTTCACCCTGTCCGCTCTGCAACGCCTTCACTTCGTTAGAATCGTTGCCGTCGTTCGTCGACGGTGACTGCAAATAACTGCCCCCCGTCACCTAATAGCAATATATGCTATGTTTTAATACTCAAATACTTTGGCAGATAGTGCCACTGAAAAGTCACTCTAACTGTCACTTGTCCATCGGCGCATCCACCGATATTGCGCGTTACGCCTCCACTACGGTAGTGTCGGGCCGTTGCCAGTGGGCATTTAGTGTGATTAGACTTCCGGCATATCCGCCTGTCGTATTGCTCCGGCTAGTCGGATGAGACTTATCCTCGCATACGTGCGGTACTTTCTAATCATCCACCTGCACCTTTGATTACCCTACCCACTAGCCTTACAATTGATACCTTAGCAGTCATCAGGCGAACAATTCAGTGGCAGAAGGGATACAATCGGGCTCGAGTTCCCTAAGGCAAAATTGGGCCCTGTCCCAACATGCGGGGCACTGCAATGGCAATGCAGCTAAAATCGCATGTATTTTTTAAAACATGTATTTTTTGTTCAAACGTGACTAAGCCTTAGGCGAGAGAAGATTCACTCAAAGGTCTCCATTTTGACTAGAGCTCCTGTCTCCTCCTAGGCTTAGTCTTAGAGGATGCCCCGGTATATTCCAATAGCGCCCGAAATTTTTCTTTGAAGCTTGTATGTTGCTGTATTGGGCCGAGCCCATAGTTAACATCGTACAGATTTATTTCACAAGAAAGTATGTACTTCAGTGTTGAAAGTGCAAGATGTCTAATTACTGAGTAGAGCTAGAGAGCCTCAAGTCCTGCCGTCATCCTCCTCTGCTTGTTCCTGTTCAAGAGCGAAATTCGGATGATCATGTTTCGTTTTCGTTTTCCGTCGTTATTAGCTTTTTTCAGGATCCAAGCGACCCACCTAAGACTATGTTCTTACAGGGTGTCATGTGGCGGGTGTCAACGGCTTCACTAGTTCTTCTTGCGGCGGTGGCATACGCGGCCGATTTAGAAGAACAAGGTATGTTTTTGATAGTTTTTTTGTAAAATTGTGAATGAAATATTGAATTATTTAGGGAAATCACTAACAGGCCAGAATATTTGAGTAATTCAAACGATCTAAACTTAACAACATCATAGATTTTATTCACTTGTCCTTTACGCTTCACCCGATTGTATTCCCCAGTGAATGCGCATCCGTTGGTGAAAATTCGGCGCAAAACATTTCATCCGACTTCTGGATTTCATGAAGATAACAATATTTTGCTGAACACGCTGTTCCATCTAAACTAGCGCTTTGCAAAGTGACTTGCATTCGAGGGTTATTTCCATGCCCTTTCAGGCTCCACTGATTTCATTGGTCATTTAACGAGCTCGTATAGACATAGACGCCGTCAAAGTGGACACCTTAACTATACTTTAAAAGAGTACTTGTGAATCCAATATGAAACTGTAAGCTTGATAGTAAACCTTAAAGTGGGTTAGAGTATCCAAGTATCTACTAGAGCGCCCTGAGAGTAGTAGGAGGGTGGCAGCAAAGAGATACGGAGAGTCCTCTCAATCCATTTTGGGAATGGAGAGAGTGTGCATTCCTGCGAATTTCATGGGGCTATATGGCGCTTTGTAGCTTCAGAGGCACTGAAAAGCTTTCCAGGTTAATCAGCTGCAATGTGAGGGAGAAATGGCCTGCTAAAATTAAACGACTCAGTCCGGATTGATGTACTACGAACGTCCTTCGACGCTGTACTCATCTATCCACCAAGTCAACCTCTATAATTTCAGTTTACGACGTTCCTGATGAGGAATACACAGAAGCTTTAACATTGTTGGGTATCGGTCCAGAGGCACAACATATCTATGCCAAAAGAGGTAAGCATTTATTTAAAATTTTGCAGAACTTTCAAAACAGCTGTTTGCAGCTCTATGGGTTCAGTTTGTCTCACTGATGCAATAATCAGATTCTTAGAAAAAAAACATCATCGGTCGGAAAATCATTAGGGGCAGAAAGATATCCCTTCTGGAGAGAAGTTGTTCAGAAAAAATTCTCAGCTCAAATTCTATGTTCAAAAAATTCTCAGCTTAAATTCTGTCAGCCCACCAGAGTCAACCCTGCGTTGCGCAGTTCGCAACGGCACGTTGAGAGATCCTCAACGCACGCTGTATGGGCGGAGACACAGACGGCTCGAGCATGCGAGTGTGAATGTTCGCGCGAGAGAACGTGTCTAATCGGGCGAAACTGCGCAACGTGGCCGTTGAGAACTGCGCAACGCAGGGTTGACTCTGCAGCCCACTGATTCTAGCAAAAATTGGTTCTTCTCAAACTAATTTAGCAATCAGAGAGAAATAAGGAAGACAGATAAAATACTGAATAGATACGAATACTTGAATACGTCTGGTCGTTGGATGAAGGCTGCAGATACTTCTCTAAGATCAACAATAAATGTAATGCTGGAAGTTCGCCTGATTAATAAAGGGTAGACGAGTGATAATCGAAATAATATTTAACGCTGATCACTTTCTGTTGATGCGCCACGCTTTTGACTTCCATTCGAAACCGCAAAGGCATTCGAAAAGCATTCATTTTTCTAGCATGTACAGTAATTTATGGGGCTAAATGATGTTCGAATCAGCCCTCTTCCACTCCCATGTAAGTCTGTCCTAAACCTACCGGCTCAAGGGGTGGGAACCCACAGTTCGGTCGACCACAAGCTGACCCGCGAACCAAAAATATGGCGTGAAGGCTCTCACAGAACTTGATAGCTACTACGCTAAGTAAGGTCGTTCACAACGGTCGCTATTGAGTTAAGCTCACTCTAGTTGGAACAGCTGTACGGATTTCCATACTAACTAGCCCGCTCTGCTATTGGATGCTTGAAAAGGATATAAAATGACTTAGTTGACCCTTCTGCGCAGTGGTTTGATAGAGAACATCCACTAGCGATTCTACTCTGCACATCTAGCGCGCTTTTGAGTATAAATCGTGCCAGATTAGCCCTAGGATTCTAACTGCTCGGTAAAAATGTGTCTGTTATTCACGTTAGCTAAGACCAGTTACGCTCAGGACACATGGAAACATTAGGGCTAGTCGCAGCCATACATTATCGGTATTATCAGCAGCTCCAGTCAACGTGGTGATTTGCTGATCCTGCTACCTGAAACAAAACCCACTTCGGATGCCACTGACATTGACCTACACCATATGGCAGTAAAATGTGTTGACATTTTACGACTTACCACTGCTACCAGTGTTTTTTATGGCACCTATTACCCTCACACTGAAGTGCATGGTAACTTCGTGAATGGAGTGAACTACTCTTTCAGTGTGTTATTACGTTGGTACTTTGGAACAAAGGCTTACTGCGAATAAGCCCATTGAAACTGCGAAAAATTATTGCTAGTCGAACGCTAGCAGTAATTAATTACATGCCCACCTTACTTACTGCTTCACGATTTCAAGAACTTATGGGAAAACATGGAAAAAAATACCAAATAATGACCTTACCCAGTAAGCTATGATGACAAGTTTGGAGCACAGTTCTTAAAGACACAGGTCACAATCAGATCATCAAGGAGATTCCCTATATGGGTGGGGTAGCAGGACTCCTAATCACAGGGGTGGTGGGAGTGTCACGACTCAAAAGCGCGTGGCAACGGCTGATGCCTTGACCGCTGCATGTTTATCAATCTCGCCATACGTGGCGTCTGGGCCCTCTCACGCACAACATGCTCTCTAGCGTCTCCCCCTTCTAGCTGCGCCGTGTCTCTCTGTCTTACGTTGGCAGACCTCACAATGGGAAATTCATTTTTTTTTCTAAGGTGCTTTTTACATTTTTTCCCCACTAACGTCCCACTCGTTACACTACTTCCCTAGTTTTGAGACGAGAAAAAAAAACAAATTCTAGCGCGACATGTGTCCTTACGCATCGGAAACCAGTGCACAGCTTTCAGCATCGGCCTGCTTAGCATGTCGAAGTTTATCCTACATTTTAAAAAGCCGTGGTTGAGATCCAGAATACTGACATGGGCATGTTTAGGACCTATTGGCCGAGCAAGGAGAGTCGCTGGAGGCGCGATACAAAAATCCCCGGATCGGAACCCAGACGCAGGTCTAGAACGAATAATCTTTTCATTCCAGTATAAGCCAAATATTTCAAGTATGTGTAGCATGAATGGAAGTCGAATGTGTGCCGCATCATAAAGATTCCATTAGTTCCAAAGATAATGAGAAAATTAAAAGGGGAGAGCTGCATCATTCTTCACGGCCGTATCGCTCTGTCTGCTCAATTTTGACCTCAACAGTTCCTTGGTAGAATAATAACTTTGATTTTTTTCATTACTGGACGTCTCACAAAAGTCAAATAACTAATTATTTCATTAAGTAGAGCATCATAAATGAATTTTGGATCAGCAGACCAGGTAGAATGTGAACACGGAAAGCGGAAGCATGAAAATTCCAATTCCATTCTCCGAAGCGCTCCTGAGATCTGCTAATTTGCTTTTTTTAAGTCCTATTATTTCTAGAAAGGGTATATGGAACTGTAAATACTCGTAAAATCTGCCAAGTGCCACGTAGGAGAAAAAAAAGTTGATAAGAAGTCGTGCGCACCCAATCGATTATCGTGCCAACTGAGTTCACACTGCGTCAAGTGAGCACAGAACGCAGAAAATTTATGGCGTCGTTCTCTCGGCGCAGGAACCTTAGTCCAATGAGTAAAACCATAAACGCACTTAGCGTCAAACAAATATCATGAGCAGTATTATCATAGTTTTGTATTCTGCCAAAAGTAAACATCACGTAGATCTAGATGGCGGCATGCCAGGCGTCCTCCGATTTGGAAAACGTGAAAATGGTGTCGAAAAGAAGGAAGTTCCCGGTGTTCTCCGTTTCGGCAAGCGGACCAACAAGAAGAGCATGCCAGGTATGTCGTTATTTTACAAAGCAGTAATTATTGTCATAAACTTGTCACTGGGGTTTCATAGCCCTAAATTTTTTAGGCGTGCTTCGATTCGGCAAACGAAACGTGCCCGGAGTTCTGAGGTTTGGAAAAAGGGAAATGCCTGGAGTGCTGAGGTGATTAGAAAGCCACCCAGATATTTTCATCCTTTATTTTTGCCTTTGATAAATTATCCAGTACCCGAATGGCTCGCTGCGTTCCAGCCTTTGTCTAAGTCACATAAGGTTTTACTTCATCAGGGCGACCGATTTCAACCTAAAATCCTAAAATTAAAAAATCAACGAAGATCCGATTTTATGGTTATGTTGTACTTCTCGCTCTGCGAATTCAGGAGAGAGTAATTATTCAAGAAAAAGTTGCTTGAGTTCATCTCGATACTTGGGATTAATTGAAGGTTTTCTGCTACCAAACGATGGGAGAAATATTTACTTTCGCGTTTTTTCCATGTTTCATTTATTTAACGCCCATCTCTTCCTATTAAAGACGAATGCATAGCAACTCATTGAGTTCCTTCGTTAGACTGGATAGGATCGTCAATCTTAATGTTACAGATTCGGCAAAAGAGGGATGCCCGGAGTCCTGCGTTTCGGCAAAAGACACGAAATACCCGGCATGATGAGGTGAGCACCGAATTCTAAAATGATACCCGAGCTTTGCAGTGAAGCAAATATTGTGAACTTCTGATAAAGCCTTTTTTGTGTTGACGAGCAGTTCAGCTGGTAGGCTTCGCCTCTCAGAACTGCACTGCCTCCGCTTTTATTAACCTCCTCTCCCCTTTACGTCTCTGGATTTTCGGAGCCAGACCATATTTACCTACAGCACGCAGGAGCTACGCGAGAGGATTGTATGAAGACTCTCTCTTCCCGGAAAGTGTTGTGCTGGCCATGAAGTTTGCCAAGCGTGGTTTACCCTGCTTCGAGTGTGAGCCAGAAGAACTAGCTAAATTCTAAGGCCGAGGTTCCTGTGTACTTTCACATTTAGACATAATCGCGTGCTTAGATAGCAGGATGCGATCTTACAGTCAATTAGCTGGTAAGCTATGCCTCTAAGAACTACACTCTCCTCCGCTTCTAATAGTCATCCCTTAAGTGAGGCAGCAGTTGCACAGAGCAGATGAAACAGCTTAAGAGAATTTGATCCGTACGGTTTCCCGTGCTCAGAATGAGGAATAAAGGCTTCGAAGGCTAGTTCTACACTGCCGACTTCTGTAAACTGCACCCCTTGACTCGAACAATGACAACCGAGATACTCCTCCTGTATGGGAACTGCGTGGCGTAAGCTGAAAACTCCTCCCTTTGCGAGAAGCAACTGCATTGGTCAAGAAGTGGTAGTAAAGAGACTGCTCGAAGTTTCCGTGTCTGCAGATTATTTTGCCTTATTCCTCAAAGGCGCATTCTTTAGTATCCCACATAAGTATGATGATAGCTAAGATCTGAATATTATATCACTAATCTGACAGCTAATGCTAGCTCAGAACGCAGAAACCGCAATAAAGTCATCGCGACGCAACTTGTGGTCAGCCTGCTTCATTTTGGGCACACCAGCTTGTTGCAGCTTGTAGCGCATGTCCTGTCATCAATCTGTTCAACCCTAACTTGATTTTACTTTACTTAGCTCAGCCCTAACCCTGATCTTTAAACTGTAACTACTGTACGTCAGTCTTATTCGTTAGGATGAAGACTGTACGTGCGCTCAATATTCTTTCTGTGACTCCAGGTTCCGTGGAGCTAAAGCCCCTAAAAATTTTTGAGGAGGGCAGAAGGGGGTGTGGTGAACCGGTGTCAGTAGCAGGTCGACTAGTCGGGACATACGGTAGCACTTGAGCGCCAAATCATTCACATTGCTTAAGCTTACGTTAAATAACCGTCGTTTTGACAACATGGATTCAAAAATACTTTTAAAGATAAAAAAATGCAAATGCTGATCACATTCTCGATTGAACAAGGAGTGCAAATTTGGTTAGGCATGTAGTCGAATCAGCCACAACTTTTGTCGCAAGGAAGACAAAAACGAAAACGAAGAAAAGTATCGGGAAAACCTTTATGTTACGGTTTCCTACCAATAATCAGACCTGGTAGAACTGGTTGTTGACTGGCTACGGTAGATGTCCCTACAAACAGTGATTGCTGCCACATTAAGATGCGATGGGCTTCTTGACCGACAGCCGTCCTACACTTCGAAATTGATGCAAAAAATCTCGCGAGGTCAAATGACGAGTTTTCGGATTTTGCTATTGCTGACGCTGACCGCAATCGGTCGAAGTACCCAGCGCTTTGTGCCATAGGTCTCCATCGTCCTTTTTAACCCTTGCTCCTTCAATTTCTTCCATCCGAACAGCCCTTTTCCAACCCAAGTGGCACATCAGCATTGATGGCCTTTTTTTAGTGCCGCCTCCGCATCGAGATACCTGATTTTTACACTGTTACGCTAGGATCCTTACCGTAGCCCCACCAAAGACCTTCCCAATGTCGTTGAGAAAAAAAATCGCTTTAACTTTCGCGATCTGAGAAAACCGCCGAAATGTTGCCCATGGGCTTCACAAAACGCTAACCATGTCAAAGAATGACGCAAATGGGTGAAGAGTTGATATATCGGAAACGGTTTTTATTCTTCTCCCCGGAAACAAGGGTTGAATTATATTCACTCCGGGAGCCGATTTTCATTTATATCCATAAATTCCGCACATACGACCAAAATCAAATTTTTCTTCGCGAAAATAACAACATTTACTAGAAGCAATTTACTAGAGGTAAAACTGAGAGTTTTATTATTTTGAACATAGAGCTAAGCTCTTCGCAAGGATTTTAACCGTTCTTCGTCTTCGGGTCATCTTTCTGTCAGCGGTGTACTTACGACTTCGAAAATGCTCAGAAAATTAAAAAAATTTCTGTACCATTACGTTCAAATAAGTTGAGTTCAAATAAGAGTTGATAATAATTGAATAATAAAATAAATAAAAGTTGAAAATAATTGAAAATAATTGAGTTCAAATAAGTATTTGATTTTGCCCTCATGTAGAACTTGCCCTTAGCACCCTTGACTAGTATGAGGCTTTTAGGCTGCTGGACTGTTACTCGACGTTCTCTTTCTAAAAACATTATTCGGAAAATTTGGAAAAGTGGGTCGTAAGCTGGATAGAGTAGCCAGCGGCAGCTGCGACCATTGAAAAACGCTTTTATCGGGTTTGGTCCGAGCGCGGATAGGAGGTGAAGCAGTAGGAGTCAGGACTGCACTAGGTGCTCTTTGAGTGCACTGATTTACTGGGAGGTTACTCGGCAATATCGCTGGTGATCTTTAAGTGTTGACATCTGCCACTGACCTACGCATTTCACTCTTGTTACCAGGCATACCACTCTCGAAGTACCACATCTCCGTGGACAATAAAACGAGGGGTGCGGGTTCGAGTCCCGTCTCAGGCGAAAGTTTTGTTCACAACCCAACATTCTTGTGAAATAAAACCTTGTTGTTAAAGTCACCTTTGTCTAAATTCCGACTATAACCCCACAACCCAACATGTAGAAAAAGCGTGGGACATCTTAATCCGAACTTCTTAGGGCCGGGTAAGACGGAAAGGCCTTTTCATGGTGACGAGTCTGGACTGGAATGTTATTCAAGTCAAGAGCTACCCGCTCCCTTTTCTAATACGTTGAGTTTTGGGCTGGACCAGGTCTAATGCACTAGGAAGTCCAAGGAAAGGTACCTTGCTAATCAAGAAGTTTGCCAAATGCGACGGTTAACTCTGGTCCAAGCCAGGAAGAATGCCAAAAAACGCGACCTGTACAGGATGTGTTCCAGTCCAAATTCAGATATAATCTTTTCTGTATAGCATTGATGGGCCAGTGACTGGGTCCTGAAAACCCGTGACTCAAAGTTAGCAAAGGAGTGCGTTGGTCAAGACTTTTTCGAAGCGAAACCCTTTGGGTTTTCCTCAAAAGCTGCAGGAGCATGCGGAGGGAACGTATTTGGCTCATGAAATGCACAGCAGGACCGGCCCATAGTAAGGTCGGTGCTTGCTTCTTCGACAGGAACTTCGTTCTATTAAGTAGACTCAAGAGGAATAGTGTGCTCGGTTACAATGAGCAGGATGCAGTCTTACAGGTCAATTAGCTGCCAGGAAATTACCTCCAATAATTGAAGTACCTCTGCTTTTCCTTGTTCATGATGGTAATCCTTTTCAGATTTGGCAAACGATCAACATACGATACTATTCCTCTGGAACTTCTTGACAAGAAAAATGTGCCCGGAGTTCTTCGTTTTGGCAAGTAGATCCGAGAACACAATCAAGTGCATATAATTCTCTCATGATCTCAAATCAGCTGTTCGTGTCTATTCATCCCATGACGTCATTTTCAGGACCTATCGTAGTTCCGCAGGCGTGCGGTGAGCAAGATTCATTCCCCGAGATACCTATGTGTGATCTAAGAATAAATGTTGATACGTTAAATGAAAATGATTAGCTCTGGTGGCTCAGCTTCAATGACAAACTGTTTCGATTAATTTTTTCCAATGAGTGGAAATAAAGAAGAAATCTGAACATAAGCTGAAGGCGCATCTGCGATCGAATAGGGGTCTTATGGGGCTTGAAAATCAAAGCAATGGTATTACTGGCCCATCGATAATGAAAGAAAGGAAAAAAATTGCAAAGAACTCAACACCACAGCTTGCTCTCCGCCCCTACGATAGTCTCATAGCTTTGTCCTCTTTACTGTACTGTACCATCCGTTACCATATCAAGAACTTTGACTGACCAATGGGATTCCTGCAGGTGCGAGGAGCAAACCCCGCCCACAGGAGCGCGATATAATTTTTAAGGATTTCAGCGACTTTTTGTTCTTTTTTGTTCTGTTCATCAGTAAGTGACCAAATCCCCCAATTACGCTCTTACTTGGGGATGCCAAATACCGTATATTAGCTCAGATCGTTAGCCCTGCGGTTAAACTCGAGGATATTTGGCGCAGTCCACTCAGGGAAGAATTTGCTTTCATAGAAACGATTACAACTCCAATCATTCTCGCAGAGACCGCCAAATTGAGCTAGATTTTTCGAGATGGGCAGAGCATTCACAGGTTCGTTCGCCTCTCCTTAATATCATGGGAAACATCCTACCGAACAGAGGTTGCGTCTGTTGTTGAAGGAACGCTTCTCGGAAGAAACTGTACTATTTTCCAAACGTATGTCAGTTGTGATCACTAGATACAGCACACAAGTTTCACGTACAAAGATTCAGTTTCCGAAGAGAAAAACTAGCAAAAATCGCACTCGCTGGACAATCGAAGGTAATGGCAGGGAGCCAAAGGCGGGGCGTGGAAAGAAGTCCGCCTTGGGACGGCTACGTATCAGGCGACGCAATGAAAAAATCGGTCCAAAGCGTGCGATTTTGGAGAGTAGAGAAAAATCGATCGATAGAATAGGATGCAGTAGAAGTGTGATGTGAATGCAATAAGTCAAAAGGCCGGAAAGAGTTTTTCTGGTGACGGCGCTCCGAGAACCAAGTGGAAGCATTCCCGTCGCCAGCATTTGTGACAGATGTCCGGCGGTACTTTCGAACGCGTAGCAGCCCTTTCGGTTTTTCAATTTTTTTACCAAAACAAATGCAATATTTTCTGCTCTATTCCGTTCTCATTGGTGCGAACGATAGGTCCTAAACTAATGAAATATGGTGAGGACAGCATCACGACTTTCCGGAAAGGATTCTTTCAGGATATGGGAACAATCAGGGTTATTAGGTTGCGGACAAGATTTATACTCAATTTGAAGTTCAGAATTCAGCTATGAAGGGTACAGCAACCACAAATTCTGGAAGAATCATTCCCGACACCTCAGATCGAGAGAAGTAAGTAACATTATTCCAG